AATTTTGTTCCTGATTGCAAATCCTGGGTGCAACCCTGAATTCAAACATGCACAGGACTGTAGTTCTTGGGAAATATTTGAAATTTCCTGAACTTGTGTTTGAAGGTATGCATATGTGCAAATGGACCGATGCACAAATCCTCTCCAAATTTGTATTTCCATGCAAATGTGCATTTTTCCTAATTGTGGTTGCGGGGCGGGGGAGAGGTACTTTCATTCAGGAATGCAAGCCAAGTGAAAGCAGCTCCAGGGAAGCACTTGACGAACCTCAGTGAACTTGAACATCATGTGTTGGCCCATCCCTGGTCAAGGCACACAGGCATAGCACGCATCAGTTCACTGGTACAGTCTTCATCTGCTGAAAGGTAGAGAGGGGGCAGCCATGATTTTATTACTACTTGGTCCATTCCTAGTTAGAGGAAGGAAATGAGTTCCAGTGTGACAACCCTCCATGCCAACTAGAGACTGAGCTAAAGTGATGAGATGCATAACTGGGTGGTGTGTGTACTGCAGATTGAATTGTTGTGTAAAAGCTGGCATGGCTTTCTTCACCCCTGCATGGTAAGCTGCACCTGCTGCATGCTCTCTTTCTCTGCTTCTGTGATGGATGCCTCACTGCCTTTCTCCATGCCTAGTCACCCTTGATGCGGGCTGGCACACCTTTCCATAGAATGCAAAACCTTGCAGTCTGTTCAATGCATTCAAGGAACACAGCACTTCTACGCAAAAGGCTCTGACTTACTTTTTGCAGGATTTCCACTGTGAAATGTTTCTGTATAGCCCCAGCACCTTCTATGCTTCTGGTTTCCAGGTGTGGTCAGCGATTTAACAAGCACCCATAACTGCTGCCTAGAGCTGTACTTTATCTCACTGCCCTGCACCTGGCAGGTCTGTGATTTTTCTCTCTCTCCCCTCCTTGTTCCTCAACTCCTTGAAAGAGGGAGGAGAATGCACAGAGGCCCCTGGAGATGAGACAGTTCTTTAACCCCTTATTGACAGAACCAGAAGAGCTACAAAGCAATTATTGTCCTGAAATTTTACCTCTGTGGCTTAGATGCCCACATGGGAGCTGGTGGGCACCTATAACTTTTAGCAAAAGATGGATGTTTAGATCATTACTATTCAGATTGCATCTCCAGACAATGTGATACACATGAGGCACCTTGCCCCCTCCCCACACACATAGCTTTGAAGTGAGGAGCTGCTACACACCTTCTGGGAAGATCCATGCCAGTTCAACCACTGTGCATCTCTGTTCTAGGCTTTGGCTATAGCAGTCTAAAAGATGCTGCTGTTAGGGAAGAAAATGCTACCAGCCCACCAAAGCTGTGGGGGAAGTTCAAGACTGAATCCCATGCACTTGCAGGGCATTGAAAGAAATATTTCCTTTCTAAGGAAGATTAGAAAGCAAAAAAGTAGGAGCATCACGGAGCTGCTGTTGTTTACTGAGGGTGTAGCCAGAAGATGTGCTTACTGAGCAGTCAGCCCACTTCATTTACAGAAGTTTACAGGAAGGTTCAGAAATAGTCACCCATTCAGAAACCTCCCATGTTTTTCCCATTGCTTTTGTATTTTTTTCTTTCTACAAAGTTTCTGCTTCAGGAGGAAAAGGCAGAATAGCTCACAACATCTTTTGATTTATAGCACTACAAGCTGGTTGCTTGCAAGTGCCCAGAAATGCCAAATCAATTGGTGCTGTGGACCCTTCCCTTGCCTGATCCCCGCTGACATTGGCTTGGCTCCTCATCACATAACACATTAAGCCACCCAGCAAAGAAGCCATGGTGGGCTGAGTGTTCGCAAAACAACCCATGGAATGCCCCACAGGTGATCTGGCTTGCCATGGCATGTTCTCACTCTGTCCTGCTCTACCTCCTACTGTGGTAAGTGATATACAAGTCAAACCTTGTGAGCTTGCAAATAGGCTCATTTGCACACCTTTGCCAAGGACCAGGGTTGGGAGAATATTATAAAGGGAAAGAAGGGATCCATTTGCAGTAGCTTTTGAGTAGCTTGAGCCCTGGGATGGTCCAGGCCATTTTGCTGCCTGAGGTGAAGGACAGGACATTTCTGTCTGCCCCCATTCCACAAATAGATGCCAGTCAGCTGGCAGTTGAACATGCCTCCCACATAGGCCCCAGGGCAGCTTCTTCTACCACACCTGGGGGCATAGGACAAGCCACATAACAGGCACAGTTCTGTCCTCCAAGAGAAGTGAAAAGTTAGGAGGTGTGAGGAAGGGACTCAGGAGAACAACCAGGAGTGCAGGCACTTTTCACCCCACAACTGTTCCCACAACTGCCACGCTCTATCCCATAGCAGGGTTGGCCTGCTTAACTGACTACTGTAGTGAAAAAGTCAGTGCATTTATGTGCTGGATATACATAGGAAACGTGCCAAGCTCTCGCATAAGTGAGGCATTAGTGGGTAGCTATTGTATGCAGATGATCTTGTTGAATAGGTATTATGAGGTATAACACATTGAGACTCCTCAGCTGTGCCTGTCTAGTTGGATCTGGTAGCATTTCTAAGAAAGCCACCTTGCATGTCCCGTATTTCAGCCTAGCAACCTAATTTTGGCTTCCAGGACTGCACTATTATGTTTTCCCATGTCACTGGTACCAACATGGACCATGACCACTTATTCTAGCCCTGCACTATCTACAGTGCTCTCTAGATGGCGGGCAATACCTCAGGCAGGCAATTCACCATGTAGTCCACACATCCACCACAAACCCTGCCTTCTGTGAGTCTAATGATTAAATCTCCCACTACCAGAGGCCCCCATCCCCCAGAGGTATATGCTCTGTGGAAGGAGTGAGTCGCCTTCCTTCTTCCTCAGAATAATGCCCTCCTTCCCCAAGACCCCTTTTCTCCATGACTACAGAAGAGCTGTCACCCAGGAGTTGGGACCCTGTTAGTTGGTCACTGGGGGTCTTGTCATCCAGCCTGCCTACCTCTCAGCGCTTCTCCAAGTCAGCAACCTTGCCTTCAAGACAACAAAAGTGTTCCCTGAGAGCCAGGAGCTCATTGCACTGAGCACAAAACCGTGACTTCTGTCCAGCTGGCAGATCATCATATGTGTGGCACTTGGTGCAATACAACTGGATAGCCCCTGCCACCCTGTTGGCTTTCTGCCTGCATAACTGGCTTAATTGGTATAAGTGGTATATCACCTGAAAATCCCAGGTGGTCTTTTTCTAATTTACTCTTCCCTCTTTCATGCTTTCATTTACTTTTTGTTAGAAAAATTTGGAGGGGCTGCTCATGCACTGGAGATGGGGGTTGCATAAGATTCTCATACAGCTGAAAAAATACTTAGGCAAAAACCCTTGAATATAAGGAAAACAGAACAATACAAGCATGAGTGGGAGAGAAAGAGCAAGCCATGGGGCTAGAGAAGGGAGGAATAAGGCCAGGGATGAGGAAGGGAGAGAAATAATGAGGAAAGGGATTAGAGGAGAGCAATAGCAAAGCTAGGGGCTGGGAACAGAGAGAAAGAAGAGAGCAAAAAGGAAAGTTCTATGTGGATAGAAGATTGAGTAGGGTCATAAAAGAATTCTTTCCTCCTGAACAGCAGACCAGAGGCAAATGTGGAAGAGGAAGAAGAACCTGGCACTTTCACATTTTCTAAGTTTTTTTTTACTAAAAATGATTTTTGAAGGAGGAAATGGAGTGCTTTGTGTGCATGAGTGGAGGCCTCTGTGGGTGCTCTAATGCCTCTCTCAACTGGTTTTTGCATCCACTTCTGTCTGGGCCAGAAGCCCCTTTGCCTACTATTGGGTGGATGTCTATCTTTGTGTGTGGCAAGTAGAGGCAGCAGTGAAGACAGCATGCTCTGAGAGCCGGTGTGATGCACTGGTGTGATGTATGCCATGGAGCTTCACTGGGTGAATTTGGGTCAGCCACAGACTCTCAGCCCAACCTACCCCACAGGGTTAAGACTTTAGAGGAGGATTAGGTACACCAGCTTGAGTTTCTTGAAAGAAGAATGGGCAGGATATAAAGATAATACATAAATAAACTTATTAAGCTTAATGTTTTTGTTAACAATGTTTGTGTTTATTTTAATTGGGATTTAATAGAAGATGTGATGCTGTGGTTTATTTTATTGTAAGACCATCCTGAGCCTCCTATTGGACCAGATAGAAAAGCTTTAACTAATAAACATATTCAGAGGCACACTAGTTCTCCGTTGTTACTTGACACATGCTTTCTTGGCTTTAGCTTCAGTAGTAGGCAACACTGTAGGGGTTTATGGGGGCAGGGGGTGGAATAGGCAGCTGTATGTTGCCAAGTACACAGCTAACATTACTCTTGTCACTTTGCCCCATTCCATGAGTCACAACTGCTACCAAATTACTGGTACGTTAAGGAAAACCAAAGAAAATTCGCTTCGCTAACCTTGGTTTAAAAAAAAAAAATCTGCACGGTTCTAATTTTACAATAACTTAAATCCTACTACCACCTTGACTACCGGAGTGAAATGTATTTTAGTAAAAATAATAAAATGAGCATCTGCAGTTGCATACAACGGAAGAGCACTCTGCTCATGCTGGCCCAAGGGCTATCGACATGACTCTGTTACTGTCCATCAGCCTGCTGCTCTCTGGGTGGTCCTTTCGGTGGGCTTGTCCCCAAGCTCCAGCCCCGGCTGCGCCGCTGACGGAAAGTCAGTGCAGGCTGCTCTGCGGCTAAAGCCCCGGAGTCCTTCTATGCTCCTTCATAGTTTTCTCCCTCGTTCAGATCCTTCGGGGACTTCTGACTCTGAAAGTGGACTCCTCCGCCAGGAACGCTGGGGTAAAACACAGAGCGGGGGACGCATGTGCGCGCGCGCGCGCGCGCGCCTTTGTCGGGGTTGCGGGTGGGTGCACGGCGTGCGGCTGAGTCTGACTGCGCCCGAGCGTGCGCGGTTGCCTCCCTGCAGCCGGCAGGGGTCGCCTCGGTCCCAGCCGCCAGGTCTCGTCGACGTCGCCTCGGCTCCGCCTCCTGCTCGGTGCCCACCGGTGGTTCGGGTGGCTTCTCTCAGCAGCTCGCTACTTGGGGCGGTCGGGGCTGCCGAAAACGCCGACGGCAGCGGGGAGCGCCGTGCCCACGCTTGGAAGATCAACGGAGTCGAAGGAGCGCCGGGCGCGGCCCTACCAGAAAGGACCAGAAAGTATGGCGGCTCCGGAGCGAAGGGCCTTCGCGCACCGCATTAACCGGTGAGGGACCGATAGATGTATGGACGCGTGTACAGCCCTCCCGGGAAGATCGCGTTTTTCTACCTCTGGACTCGACTGGGGCTGGGGGATGGCTTCTGTGTCCCCAAAGCCCCCGTCTCTCTTCCCGCTTAAGGAATACCGCCCCGCTGCAGTCCTTCTCTATTCTGCCTCTCTTAAGTTTAGCCGGGGACGCTCCAAAGATTGCCCGTATACCTTCCTTCTGGCTACATGTTCCGCCCCACCCCCAGGGAAAGGCGCGCACTCTCCCGGGCCCAGCTAAGCCTTGTAAATACCGCCCCCGCCCCAAGTTACTAGACTACCAAACTGATCCTTGTCCACGCATGATTTTGTTAAGTCGTTTATGGTTTACTGGCGTCCAGGGAGGAAATGGGGTCGAGCTGGTAGGATGGGAAGGAGAAAGGAAACTAGTTTTTCGATCTTTCGTGGACACCTAGAGGCGATGATTACTTGTCGACGATTACCGAATGATCAGCTGCGCCCCACATAAAGTACTCTACTACTCTTCCCCAGTTTTTTCTCTCTTATGCGTGCTGCCGTATAGGCTGCGTAAATAAATGCTCCTGGGCATTGGGTGTTTCTCAGATGCGCCCAGCTCCCTTCCTTGAATGAGTAAAATTGAAGGGAACGAGGAATAAGAGCAGCGAGCTATTTACTCATCACAGAATCACTTATGTCTTTATTCTTACAGAATGGTTATCCTAATCCCTGTTGCAGATCAAGAGCAAGTGTCCAAAGGCTAATGGTTATTCCATGTTTATTAATCTGCAATAAAAGGATGTGTAGACCTGTGGGCACATCCAAACTTGCCCTTTTGGGATCTCTGTTGTTTTTATTATTAATATATTGCTCCAATATTCATCACACTTACAACAAAAAAGGCAAGGAGAGGAGTTTGCATACAAGGGCGCAGAGGAAGATGTAGGTGAGGGTAAGTGAGGAAAGCTGTATGGGAAACTTCCAGAAAAGGCTTTTCTTGTCCACCATTCTTATTCATTTACAGAATTTTAGGGGGGTGGTTCCAAAAAGGTTTTCTCCCTCCCATGTTTTCATACAGTATGTTATGTCTTTTTTATTACTGCTGAAGAAAATCTGTTTTAAAACGATGAAACTGCTGCGCAATGTGTTCTGATTGGTAGGGGCTTTTTGTCTGAAAGCACCTCTGTTTGCTCCACCCCTTGGTTTGACTGGCTCTTTATCTCTTTTCCATTTCCTTCTTGTTTTTACACCAGGAGTGAGTTTGAATGCCACAGAAAGCCATGGTGAAATCTTACCATTGTGGGTCTGCTGTGTGGTCTGGACCAGGTTCCAAAATTGCTGTGTGGTAGGATTAGTTTTCCGAAACCAAGGAGAGAATCAGTGCTCTCTTCTGAGGTTTCCCCACAACACTGCACGTGATTTTTCCAGTCATCCAGACCCAGGATAATAATTTTAGCATTGTTGGTATGGAAACATAATAGAGTCCCCTGGCATGAGTGGCCACTTTTACCCTTTGATCTGCATTGCCCTCAGACCCCCAGCAACAAATTTATTCCCATGGGCTGAACAATGTGACCATCTTGTTTGCATTAGGAAACAGGGAGACAGCATGAAAATACATGGAAAGAGAAGGGAATGATGGCAAGACTGTTTACTTTCATTTGAGAAAAGTCTCTGTGGGAGCTGGAGCAGCTGGGGAGGCCCACCAACATGATGGAACACTCAGGAGGAGGAAGGGAGAAACTTGTCTCATGGTCACAGTGGACCAATTAGGAGGAGGCTACTGTAGTCCTTGGGTGAGAATAGTGAGAAGATAGGGCATTTACTCACCGAGGTGCCTGGTGAGGCCAGAAGGAGGGAGCAGCGTGAGAGGAAATTGCACTGCTTGGGTAACCACATGATGATCTGACTGATAAGTTTCACTGAAAATTTGTGCAGCATAAAAACCATGCAATGCTGCCTGCTATTTTGTGTGAACCTATCCCAGAAGTGATATAATAGAAAGTGGACTTGGTCTATGCTTTATCTTTTTTGTGAGATAAAAAAAGAAAAAAAGCCCATTTTGATTTAGTAGAGTTTTCAAAACTGGAGCAGACTTTTCAAGGAGGTGGTTGGTGACATCCAAGATCAGATTATACATTCCCAGTGTCTGTTTCCCTGCTCCTTCCAGTTGATAATAGTGTATAATCTTAGTTTTTACTTTCAAGGTAGCATTCTTTATCTCAAGGGAATTGCACCTCCACACTTGCCTCATCTAAGTACAGTGGTACCTCAGCTCATGAACACCTCAGTTCACGGCCAAATTGGGTCGCAAACGGAAATTTCAGAAAAATTTACCTCGGTTTGTGAACTTTGCATTGGGTGATGACCACGATCGCGGCCGTATTTCCACACGGACACAAATCACCATTGTGCCCATCTTCCCCCCGCCTGAGCACGTTCACGCCTGTCTTCCCTGCACAAGCGCGATCGTGCCTATCTTCCCACCTGAACACGATTGTGCCCGTCTTCCTGCACGAGCACAGTTGCCATCGTGCCTGTCTTCCCTGCACAAGCGCGATCACAGCCATCTCCCCCAGCCCCCCCGAGCATGATTACTATCACACGATTATCATTTGGACTCTTCCTCCAAACAATAACTCCCCTCCCCACCTAGGTTAGTGTTCTCTACTGAACTGTACTTTGTTGTTCTTTGTTACTTTGTTTCAAATTTTTGTGATAAAAATATATTTACTGAACAGATTAACCTTATTTGCATTGAACCTTATGGGGAAAATTGACTTGGCTTGCGACCAATTCGGATCGAGACCAGAGTCCTGAAACAGATTAAGTTCATGAGCCAAGCTACCACTGTACACATTGAAGATGTTCTGTTGTTTGCAAATGGGGAGCTACAACCATTGAAACATCCTAGTTTAGGCAAAGAGAAAGAGAGGAAGAAGAGAAAGGAAAAGAAGAACCCACATTTAAAAATTACTAGCTTTTTTGTGTAAGAACAGTAAGTGTGGCGGTTCTATTGTGGCAGGTGCTTGTATGCCTCCATACTCAAGGCCTTGTGAACACCTGATGCACAGCAATAGCAATCTCTGCTGCTTCACCTCACCCCTTGCATTTTATCTGGACAAATGGCTGTCTGGATTTAGAGCTCTTGAGGGAAAGGAAATGTGGCTGGGGAATTCATGTAACCAAGAGGCCCCAGCCTCCTTCCCGCCCTCCCCCCAGCATGTCCCTTTTCCCTGCTCCAGGGCCCAGTTGTGATCTGGGGAGCGGGATGGAGCGTGGCGGGGGGGGGGGGCAACAGGAGCAGTTTGGTCAATGCTGGCTATGGCAGGCAGAGGATGTGAGGAGCCCATAGGATTGTTTGCTAACTAGCATTTGATCAAATTAAAAATCCACAGATGTTTGAGAATTTTTCTGTTTGTAATGGTATGGGCTTTCAGAATTCTGAGCTATATTTTGATAACCTTGATTTGTGGGAGCAATGTAAATCTGAATATGAGGGTCTGCATAATACATGTTTGAGAGATGCTAGGGATAGGTAGGATATTCTTTGGATGGTGAAGCTATTCAGTAGAGCATATCCATGTTACTTTTACAGTCATAATTTTTGTTAACATACTTAGTAAATAGATTAACATCAATGTAGTTAAAAGTTTGCACTGTAAACTGGGATGTCCCTGTACTACATTTCATTTTTGCCATAAATTCAGTAACATTATAGTCCTTTGCATATATAATAAGAAAAATGACTCAGTGAGTTCAGTGATACTGATTCTTAGATAATGCTGTATAGGATTGCAGCCTAAATGAACCTACCAGCTCTCTGCTTCTCATTTGAGGGAGGTGTGGAATCACTTTCCTCCTCCACTATATTTTGTTCCAAATGTATTATTTATTTATTTAGCAGACTTATATGCTGCCCCATTCGCCTAAGCCTCAGGGCGGCTTACAAATAAATTGCGGCTAGTTATGTAGTTATGTACTAGTTATGTACAGAGCCTAGTTATGTACAGAGCCTTTCCTACCATTCTGTCCTTTCTTTTTTGTTTATAAGTCTGTCCATATGTTTTAACACTTATCCTAGTGATCCAGGGATCAAGGAATAAAAAGACCTGTGAGCCCAGAGTCTGATTGCCACATTTCTGTATGGTTCATTGTTCTGGTTTGTGTTCTTCTAGTCTGAAAGCACATACACAATGACAGAAAGTTGCGCTCCTCTGATTTGTGCCCCCTTTATAATTAAGGAAAAATGTGTTTTAGCTATTGAAAGGTGAGGAACCATAGTTCATGCAGATACTTTGCACATGGAAAGTCAATCTTCTTATCTCCAGGTAGGGCTGGGAAAGACTTGTGTCTGAAAACCTGGAATGCTGTGCCCTGGGCTAGATAAAACAATGATTAGACACAGGTTGGCACAACTTGGGATATCTAAGTTGGAAACCACTCTTTTACTGGACCAGTAGATTTCTTTGTATGAAGGCAGGAAATATGTTTTCAGTATACAGGTAAAACAGGGAGAGGCTTTGGTGGAGGGGAGTGCTTCTGCTCATTTAACCCTAACAACTTTTAACTAAAGATTTCTTCCCCTGTATTCCCAGATTTGATCTCCATTTTGTCTGGGTTTGGAACATACAGTCAGTATGTCTATTCAGGTTAAAAATGGCTATAATGTTCTAAACCAAGCCTCATGGGTGTACTATAAAGTCATAAAGAAGTAAAAGCAATTATGTGATAGCACAACATTTCCTTGTGTATGTGTGTGCCTGGAAAAACAGTAATGTAGCACATTAAATCCCAACAAAGCATAAGCTAGACTAGTATAAATGGAATAGATTCAGGCTTACAGTCACATTTTCTTTCTTTTCCTTCTTTTTCTTCTCTCTTTTTCTTTAGTTTTGAAAGTGTTGTTTTATGTTGTGTTTTATTGAATTTTACCTATTGTTATGGTGTTATTATATTGTTATTTTAACTTTTGTAAGCTGTCTTGAGACGTTTTTGCAAAG